TTGCGGCCAGGCATGGTGGCTCACGCCTGTAATTCCAGCACTTCTGGAGGCTGAGGCGGGAGGACCACCTGAGGTCAGGAGTTTGAGACTAGCCTGGCCAACATGGTGAAACCCTGTCTCTATTAAAGTTACAAAAATGTAGATGAGTGTGGTGATGTGTGCCTCTGATCCCAGCTATTTGAAAGGCTGAGGCAGGAGAATCACTTGAACCCAGGAGAAGGAGGTTACAGTGAGCTGAGATCTTGCCACTGCATTCCAGCCTGGGCAACGGAGCGAGACTCTGCCTCAAAATAAATAAATAAATGTTCCTTGCATTTATTGATATTTCTTGTGCATTAAAGTGGTATGCTGCTAGATGAAAGAGCTATGAAATGGCATGTTCTGCACACTACAACTTCCACAACAAATATGTACAAATATACAGAGAAAAATGATAGCAAAGCTGCTGTTAGGTGACAGAATTGAAAGTGTTTTTGGTCCTTTTAAAATGGATTTTCAGATTTTCACAATTAAAAATAAATTACTTTTGAAATTAGAAAAATAAGTAACTTCAAAAATTGTGACCAGGTGTGGTGGCCCACGCCAGTAATCCCAGCACTTTGGGAGGCTGAGGCAGGAGGATCACTTGAGCCCAGGAGTTCGAGGCTGCAGTGAGCCATGACGGCACCACTACATTCCAGCTGGGGCAACAAAGCAAGACTGTGTCTCCAAAAAAATAAAGAAATATTTGACAAATATTGATGGGGCAGCAACTATGGACTAAACACTGTAGATGCACCAGGGGAAACAAACTCACTCAAAAAACTGAAGGCGGGCAAGCAGCCCTGAGGAACTCAGGGAGGAAACCTGTGGACCGTTTGAGATGCTCATGGGAGTGAGTGAGATTCTGCCTGCTTCATTTACGTTGGCAGATTGGTGGAGGAAGCGTCTCTGCTTCAAAAGAATTTCCAGGTGTACAGCTGCCAGGGTGGCAGGGATATTTTAAGGAAGTTGATGATAAGTTGGGGCTAAGTAATCCATTCAATTTCCTGTGCTCTCGCCTTCCCACATGCCACCACATTGCACAGAACTGAGTCAATGTCACAGAGGAAGAGGGTGCCCACGTCATGGGACATGTATTAGGGTGTAGGAGCAAGGAGCCCTGTTACCTTACCTCTGCACAGCTCAAACCAGATAGGGTAGACATTTTTATCACTTAACCTTATTCAATTTCTTTTTCTTTTTCCTTTTGAGAGGGAGTTTTGCTCTTGTTGCCCAGGCTGGAGTGCAATGATATGATCTTGACTCACCCACAACCTCTGCCTTCTGGGATCAAGCGATTCTCCCACCTCAGCCTCCCAAGTGGCTGGGATTACAGGCATGCACCACCATGCCTGGCTAATTTTGTATTTATAGTAGAGACAGGGTTTCTCCATGCTGGTCAAGCTGGTTTCGAACTCCAGACCTCAGGTGATCTGCCCGCCTCAGCCTCCCAAAATGCTGGGATTACAGGCGTGAGCCACCAAGCCCAGCCTTCCCTAACATCATTTAAAAATCATTGCAATTACTGTGTTTAAAAAAAAAAAAAAGTGCCCATTACAAAAAATTATAAAATACAGATGATTCTAAAGAAAAAATAATTATCCATATATGTGTGTGTGTGTGTGTGTGTGTGTGTTTCTAACAATAGGATCTCACTCTGTCACCCAGGCTGCAGTGCAGTAGTGCGATTGTGGATCACTGCAGCCTTGATCTCCCTGGTTCATGTGATCCTCTCACCCTAGTCTCCCAGGTAGCCCTCCGGATAGCTGGGACTATAGGTGCACGACACCATTCCTGGCTAATTTTTGTATTTTTGGTAGAGATGGGGTTTCACCATGTTGCCCAGGCTGGTCTCAAACTCCTGGGTTCAAGTGATCTGCCCATCTCGGCCTTCCAAAATGCTGGGATTACAGGAGTGAGCCACCACACCTGGCCTACCCACATATGTAACACCTAGAGGAGCACTGTTAGAGAGTAAATATTTTTGGCTTTGTAAGCTATATGGTCTCTGCCATAACTGTGCAACTCTGTCGGAGCACAGATGAACTCGTAAATGATATGTAAATGGATGGGTGTAGCTGTATTCCAGCAAAATGTTACCAGTAAAAATGGGTGAATGGTTGCAGTCTGCCAAGCTCTGTTTTAGTGAGTATCTTTAAGGACTTTTAAAAAGTATAGCCATAAATGAATGAATAAATAAGTGAATGAAAAAAGAAAAAGCTGATCACAGTGGCTCATGCCTGTAATCGAGCACTTTGGGAGGCTGAGGTGGGTGGATCACTTGGGGCCAGGAGTTCAAGACTAGCATGGGCAACACAGAGAAACCCCATCTCTACTAAAAATAAAAAAAGTAGCTAAGCATGGTCATGTGTGCCTGAAGTCCCAGCTACTTGGGAGGTTGAGGTGGGAAGATTGCTTGAGGCTGGGATGTCGAGGTTTTAGTGAGTGTGATCACACCACTGTACTCCATCCTAGGTGACAGAGTAAGACCTTGTTCCTGCCCACCAAAAAAATAGAAAAGACATACATACATTAAAATAACTTTTCTTTTTTTTTTTTTGGAGATGAAATCTCCCTCTGTCACCCAGGCTGGAGTGCAATGGCATGATCTCAGCTCACTGCAATGGCATGATCTCAGCTCACCTGGGTTCAAGTGATTCTCCTGCCTCAGCCTCCCAAGTAGCTGGGATTATAGGCACCTGCCATCATGCCCAGCTGGTTTTTGTATTTTTAGTAGAGACATGGTTTCACCGTGTTGGTCAGGCTGGCCTCGATCTCCTGACCTCATGATTGCCCACTGTGGCCTCCAAAGTGCTGGGATTACAGGCTTGAGCCACTGCGCCAGGCCTAAAATAACTTTTAAAAGCTGTTGCATTCATCAGATTGGAGGAAAAATCAAATACAGTCATACATCACTTAATGACTAGGACATGTTCTCAGAAACACATCCTTAGGTGATTTGGTCCTTGTGTGAACATCACAGAGCTGACTTACACAAACCTGGCTAGCACAGCCTACTACACATCTAGGCTAAATGATGTAGCCTATTACTCTCAGGTTACAAAGATAACCTATACAGCATGTTACTGTACTGAATACTGTATGCAATTATAACACAATGGTATGTGTATATCTTAACAGAAAGGGCAGAGTAAAAATACTGTATAAAGGATAAAAAAGGTACACCCATATGAGACACTATCAATAGACCTTGAGGGCCTGGGAGTTGCTCTGGGTGAGTCAGTGAGAGAGTGGTGAATGAATGTGAAGGCCTAGGGTATTACTATACACTGCTGTAGAATTTATAGACACTGTACATGTGGGCTACACTACATTTATTTTATTTTGAGATGGAGTCTCCTTCTGTCACCCAGGCTGGATGCAGTGATGCAATCTTGGCTTACTGTAACCTCCGCCTCCTGGGTTCAAGTGATACTCCTGCCTCAGCCTCCCGGCTCCTGCCACCACTCCTGGCTGATTTTGGTATTTTTTTTTAAGTAGAGATGGGGTTTCATCATCTTGGCCAGGCTGGTCTTGAACTTCTGACCTCAAGTGATCCTCCCACCTTGGCCTCCCAAAAGGGCTGAGATTACAAGCGTGACCTATCATGCCCAGCTGTTACACTTATTTTAAAATTTTTATTTCTTCAATAATAAATTGATCTTACCTTACTGTAACATTTTTACTTTGTAAACTTAGTTTTTAATTTTTTTTTACTATTTTATAATAACACTTAGCTTAAAACAGATTGTACAGCTTTACAGAAAGATTTTCTTTCTTTATATCCTTATTCTATAAGGTTTTTCCTATTTTTAAAATTTTTTGTTAAAACTTAAGACACAAACATACACCCCAGCCTCACTCTACATGGGGTCAGGATCATCAATATCCACATCTTGTCCCACTGGAAGGTCTTCAGGGGCAGTAACACACATGGAACTGTCATCTCCTATGACAGTAATGCCTTCTTCTGAAAGGCACTGCCTGTGCCTGCCTTACAGTTAACTTTTGTTTGTTTGTTTGTTTTGAGTGTCACTCTTGTTACCCAGGCTGGAGTGCAATAGTGCAATGTCGGCTCACTGCGACCTCTGCCTCCTGGGTTCAAGCGATTCTCTTACCTCAGCCTTTCAAGTAGCTGGGATTACAGGCACCTGCCACCACGCCAGGCTAATTTTTGTATTTTTAGTAGAGATGGGGTTTCACCGCGTTGGCCAGGCTGGTCTTGAACTCCTGGCTTCAGGTGATCCACCTGCCTTAGCCTCCCAAAGTGCTGGGATTACAGGCATGATCCCAGATTACAAAGACTTAATGTGAAAAAAGAACGTAAAGTATCTCATTTATAATTTTTATGTTGATTGCATGTTGAAATGACAATCTTTTGGGGCCATGTGCAGTGGCTCACGCCTATCATCGATCCCAGTACTTTGGGAGGCCAAGAAAGGTGGACCGCTTGAGCACGGGCGTTTGAGACCAGCCTGGACAACATAAGGAAACCCCATCTCTACAAAAAATATGAAAATTAGCCAGCTGTAGTGGCATGCACCTGTAGTACCAGCTACTGGGGAGGCTGAGGTGGGAGGATCACCTGAGCCCAGGGAGGTCAAGGCTGCAGTGAGCCGTGATCACACCACTGACAGCCTGCGTGATGCAGTGAGTCCTGTCTCAAAATAAAACAAAAACAAACAACCCCCAAATAATTTTGATATACTGGGTTAAATAAAATCAAGTATGATAATTGATTCCACTTGTTACTGTTTAGTGTTTGGTAACTAGAAGATGTTAGTTTACCTATGTGGCTTGCCTTGAATTTTACTACTGAGTGCTGGTCTAGGTGTACATGTGTAGTAACAACAGGGTGGAATTTGGAAGTTACAATGTGACATAGAACTCGTGCCTCGTTCCAAAGTGAAAGGGTATGTGCCCCAAGCCCAGCCAAGTGCCCCACTCTCCCACGGTGGGGGGCAGACTCCCATGCTCACCTGTTGTATAGCTGCTGGGAGCTGAATGTATAAAGCACATAGAGGGTGTTCCCCGCCAGAAAGGCCAAGATCCACAAGATGACCAGCACCGACCTCTTCTCCTGGAGACAAAGCAAGAGATCTGTGACACCAAAGATGCAAGTGGCAGAACCTTCCAGAATGTACCGAGGACTGGCAGCTTTTCGCTTTGTGAAAGTTTTGAAGGAAGTGTTGCTGAAGGTGAGGGGAAGGGCACCAGCACCTTTCCATCCAACTGAGACCCAGGTGGTGGTCACAGAGCAGGTGGCAGAATGGTGGACATAGGCTTGATCAACTATCTAGAAAGGCAAGACAGCGCCATGGTTCACAGCAGACTCTGGACTGGGATGGCACGCGTTCAAATCCCCAGTCAAATCCTGTGTGGGAGCTGTCCAACTCCAGGCAAGTTATTTAAACTCCTTCAGTTTCCCTTTCTCATCTGTAAAATGGGTATATCTTAGTATCTAGCTTATAGAGTTTTTTAAAAAATAAATTAGGGGAAAGCGCAAACGCAGTCCCCCACTACCACAAATTATGCAGTCGAGTTTCCCACATTTGGGGAATCACAGAAGTTAGCACATCTGGAGTGCAATGGATAAGCCTCACCCTGGGAAAAAAACCTTCGTGATCATGGTATCTCCCCTGCCAGGTAAGTATATCTATGTTATAGAGCTGTAAGAATTAAAGTGCATAAAAAGCTCTTAAGAGCAAAAGCACAGAGAGGTTAAGAAATATCAAGAGCATGTGTTTTAAGTCTCAGTGTCTTCATTCAAAAGTCAGGTTGTTGTTAAAGATTAAATCAAAATTTTTAGTTTTATTTACTGTTTTGTCGCCTAGGCTGGAGTACAGTAGTGTGATAATAGCTCACTGTAACCTTGAAATCCTGGGCCCAAGTGTTCCTCCTGCCTCAGCCTCTTGAGTACCTAGCATCACAGGCAGGCATCAGTATACCCGGCTAATTTAAAAAAAAAAAAATGTTTTTTTTTTTTGTAGAGACAGGGTCTTGCTGTGTTGCTCAGGCTGGTCTTGAACTCCTGGCTTCAAGTGATCCTCCTGCCTTAGCCTCCCAAAACACTGAAATTACAGGCAAAAGTCCAATATTGAAATGCAAACATTTCCTATTTCAAGCTTGCTAAGGGGTAGGACTGATAAGAGTTTACAAGCCAGCAGGATATTCAGACCTAGAGGCTAGAAATTTCTGCTTTCACTTGTTGTAGGACAGACCTCTGGCCCACCGCCCTGGACTGACCATTCCCTGGAGGGCCACAGTGTAGGATTAAATCCAAACTTACACACCTAACTCTCAAAGCCCTACACGATCCAGTCCCATTTCTCTTTCTTCAGCCTTGTTCATGTTTCATCCCCAGGAAGACACACTGGAAATCCTGTTTGCTGTTTCCCAGCAGTTTTATCACCTGAGAGCAATCCTAGGAAATGTCTGAAGGAAGTGCAAAGAGGGGCGTGCTTCTGCCTGTGTGCCCTGGGACACATACGCAGACCCCTGTGATGTGGGTTCTCAACAGCTCGTGTCTTTTCTTGGACTGGAGTGGCTGCATTGCTGGAATAAGATGAGGTCATAACTTTCCCAACGTAACCTTCCCTGTGGTTTCGGTAAATGTTCAATACACACTGTCTCCAGACACAGCTCAGTGCCCCACGCACTGTTACGATGCACATTTCCAGAGAGTGGACGAAACAAATGCATCTCCATCCACCCATCATTCCAGGAGCGGTCAAGGTTAATGATGCTAGAAACCACCTCCAACCAACCAACTGCTCTTATCAGTGTGATTAATCCACCCGGCAGCTCTTTGTACTCTAATAAATAATAGATTCCAGTTTAATTCTCTATGAATCCAAACCAAAGGTGCACTAGGAAGAGGGAATTAGCCACATTCTGGGAAGACAGAATCTGAAGGACAAAGAAGGTAGTTCTCTTCTAAGAAACTGAGACGCCTAAGCTTACTAAGGCTCATGCAGACCTGCTCTGATGGAAAACATGCACATACGGGCATGCACAATATGTCACCTGTGTCTTCGCGGGGATCAAGGACCCCTGGAGGCCCATCCATGGATACAGACATCCTCTCAGCTACTAAAATTTAAGTTAAGGCATCATTTAGATGTTACTGCCTTTGAGAGAGACCCAGCCCTCAAAGCCACCTCCTACAGGCCGGAGTGCAGTGGCACAATCTCAGCTCACTACATCCTCCGCCTCCTGGGTTCAAGCGATTCTCCTGCCTCAGCCTCCCGAGTAGCTGGGATTACAGGCACCCGCCACCATGCCCAGTTAATTTTTGTATTTTTAGTAGAGACAGGGTTTCACCATATTGGCCAGGCTGGTCTTAAACTCCTGAATTTAGATGATCCACCCACCTCAGCCTCACAAAGTGCTGGGATTATAGGTGTGAGCCACTGTCCTTGGTCCCTCCTACTGTTTTAACAGCAGCAGAGAGGAGTCTGCATAAAGAAGATGAGACTAAGGGTCAGAAAGGACCTCTGACTCTGTCCCTAACTCTGAACCTCAATGTGCTCATGTGCAAATGGAAACTGGGCTTTCCTCCATGATACATGGAGGCCCAAATGCTTTTGAGAAAGCAGATGATGCTATAGATGGGGGTCAGTGAAGCTGGGGATTATTATGGGATCACCTGTGCAGTAGAAAGCACAGACTTTTTCTCAAGAAAGACATTTATTTCCATACGTTTTTGGTGAACAGTGGTATCACATGAGTACGTTCTTTAGTGGTGATGTGTGAGATTTTCATGCAGCCATCACCTGAGCTATATACACTGCGCCCAACTGGTAGTCTTTTACCCCTCATCCCTTCCCACCCTTTCTCTCAGAGTCCTCAAAGTTCACTGTATCATTCTTATGCCTTTGTGTCCTCATAGCTTAGCTCCCCACTTATGAGTGAGAACATACAATGTTTGGTTTCCCATTCCTGAGTTACTTGGAATAGTCATCTCCAATCCCAGCCAGGTGGCTGAGAACGCCATTAATCATTCCTTTGTATGTCCGAGTAGCATTCCATTGTATGCATATAGCTTCTTTACCCACTCGTTACTGATGGGCATTTGGGCTGGTTCTACATTTTTACAATTTTTACAATTGCGAATTGTGCTGCTATAAACATGTGTGTGAGTATTTTTTCATATAATGACTTCTTTTCCTCTGGTAGATACCCACTAGTGGGATTGCGGATCAAATGGTAGTTCTCCTTTTAGTTAAGAAATCTCAGGCCGGGCGCAGTGGCTCACATCTGTAATCCCAGCACTTTGGGAGGCCGAGGCAGGTGGATCACGAGGTCAAGAGATCGATACCATCCTGGTCAACATGATGAAACCTGGTCTCTACTAAAAATACAAAAAATTAGCTGGGTATGGTGGCGTGTGCCTGTAATCCCAGCTACTCAGGAGGCTGAAGCAGGAGAATTGCCTGAACCCAGGAGGCGGAGGTTGTGGTGAGCCGAGATCGCGCCATTGCACTCCAGCCTGGGTAACAAGAGTGAAACTCCATCTCGAAAAAAAAGAAAAAAAAGGAATCTCCACACCGTTTTCCACAATGGTTGTACTAGTTTACATTCCCACCAGCAGAGTGGAAGTGCTCCCAAATCCACCCCAACATCTATTATTCTCTGATGATGGGGATTCTTGCATGGTATTGCATTATGGGTTTGATTTACATTAGAGATGTCGAGCATTTCTTTATAGGTTTGCTGGCCATTTGTATATCTTCTTTTGAGAATTGCCTTTTACATCCTTAGACCACTTTTTGATGAGATTTTTTTCCTGAAAGCACAGACTTTTAAAAAATAGTTCAATTTAAATGTTTTTTTTATATGCCAGGCACCATGCTAAACATCACCTTCTTCTTTTTTTTTTTTAAACAGAGAAGGTTTTGCTCTGTTGCCCAGGCTGGAGTGCAGTGGTACAATCATAGCTCACTGCAGCCTCGAACTCATGGGATCAAGCAATCCTCCTGCTTCAGCTTCCTGAGTAGGTAGCATGATAGGCACATGCTCCCATACCTGGCTAATGTTTTAAAAAAATTTTGTAAGCTGGGCACGGTGGCTCACACCTCTAATCCCAGCACTTTGGGAGGCTAAGGCAGGTGGATTACCTGAGGTCAGGCCTTCAAGACCAGCCTGGCCAACGTGGTAAAACCTTATCTCTACTAAAAATACAAAAATTAGCCAGGCATGGTGGTGTGCGCCTGTAATCTCAGCTACTCAGGAGGCTGAAACAGGAGAACTGCCTGAACAGCCTGGAGGTAGAGGTTGCAGTGAGCCAAGATTGCACCACTGCATGCCAGCCTTGGTGACAGAGTGAGACTTCAATCTCAAAAAAAAAAGTAATTATAATAATTTGTAGAGAAAAAAAGGTCTCGCTATGTTGCCCAGGCTGGTCTCCAACTCCTGGCTTCAAGGGATCATCCTACCTCAGCCTCCTGAGTTGCTGGGATTACAGGCATAAGCCACCATGCCTGGTACTCATGCCAAACACCTTATATGCACTCTCCTTCCTTCCTTCCTTCCTTCCTTCCTTCCTTCCTTCCTTCCTTCCTTCCTTCCTTCCTTCCTTCTTTTCTCTCTCTTTCTCTTTTCTTCCTTCCTTCCTTTCCTTTTCTTTCTTTCTCTTTCTCTCTCTCTCTTTCTCACTCCCCCTCCTCAGATGGGGTTTCACTCTTGTTGCCCAGGCTGGTATGCAATGAGGTGATCTCAGCCCACTGCAACCTCCCCCTCCCAGGTTCAAGCAATTCTCCTGCCTTAGCCTCCCAAGTAGCTGGGATTACAGACGTGTGCCACCACACCTGGCTAATTTTGTATTTTTTTTAGTAGAGATGGGTTTCACCATGTTGTTCAGGCTGGTCTCGAACTCCTGACCTCAAGCGATGCACCCCCCCCCCCACTTTGGCCTCCCAAAGTGCTGGGATTACAGGTGTGAGCCAGCTCTTCAAAAATTAAAAGCGCCTGGCTCTTTATTTTTGAGACAGAGTCTCACTCTGTCACCCAGGCTGGAGTATGGTGCCATGATCTAGGCTCACTGCAGCCTCTGCCTTCCAGATTCAAATGATTCTCATG